TGTCTGTGTGGCAAAAACCTTTAACAGACAAGGCTGAGTGAAATTCACTTTACAACGTCGTAAGCAAACTAATATCTACTGAAAGTTTTGAAATCAGCTAATCCGGCATGTAAATGTGTAAAGAATCAACTTTGCTTAGCTGGAATTTGGTACTTCTAGAGGAGAGAAAGACTGAGCTTTATGCAATAAAAAGGAGTGGGATGTGAAATAGAGCTAATTAAGCAAATGAAATGAGAGGCAATACATGAGAAAATGTAATAAAGGAAAGAAGAATACAGGATAAAATAAGAGAATATGGAAACTGGGGTTCGGTCATACCGGAACGACCAAACTGTATATAGAGCCCATAATTGCAATCACAGCCATTATAGAGAGGAAGCGGAAGGCGTCCTTGGTGAAGTTCATGTCGAGAGGGCGCGGATATAGCACATCTCGTACGAGCATGCCTTTGGTGGTCAGATAGCCAGTTCGTAGCACCAAAGCGTAAACCCCGTAGTCGATAGTCGACGGATCAGATGCTCTCTTGTTGGACCATTGAGTAAAGAGTCTTCCTTTGTCATTGTTGGGCTGGCCAGTGGACAAATGGAGTCGTTCATACGCTTGTAGCACACGTGTACCACTGTATATGAGGGAGCGAGAATGTGCTGTCAGATCGAGCCTATCGCCTGGCAGGAAATCATACAAGGCCAATTTGGTTTGTGGAATATCTTCGCCTGATGAAAAAGGGTATGGAAGCAAACAAGCAAACAGAGCGAAGACGAGGTGAAAGGAGGGTTAACGAGAAAAGAAGGTAGATAACAATTCACAAAATTTCACTCCAAAGTTGGTATCCCAGTAGGGCGCAAAACAGGATCGCAAGATGCTTTTACTATGATTGACTGGCTCCGCGTATTTGTGAAGTCTGGTCGCCAAATCTGTCGGCCTCTCTGCCAGAATGTTAATCAGGAATTCGGTGAGATCGGAGAATAGTATAAACATTGTTGTTAGGTTCATCTAACGAGCAAGCCAAAGGGAGATGCAAC